CCTTGCAGGACACAGGCTGTCTGAGAAGAAATTCTAGGGGCCGGCCAATAGGGCTAGCAGCCTCAGAAGGAGGAAGGTGTGAGGAATTCTGCCGGAGCGGAGCGAAAAGTCTGCCTCGAGTTTCCCGCGGGAGCGCTCAAACTGCCCGCCAATAAGGGGGAGGAAGGAAGAAAGAAAGGGCGGGGGCGGCGCGAGGAGGTGGGCGGGGCTCCGACCATCCTTCAGGCCAAAGGTGGGCCGGGGGCCGGTAAGCTGACTCTGCAGCCTTATGCACGCGTAACCGAAATAACCGCCTATATTTTCCCCCTATACCCTGTGCTTCTCTTTCCCTCTTCCTTTTTCTTGTTGTCCCGGAGTTCTGTTTGACCATGAGGAACCTGTCATACCTGTTCGTTTAAGGCGCCGTTGACATTGCTGTTTATTAACGGCAATAGCGAGTGTGTCAGCTGCTTGAAATAAGCCTTGCCGGGTTCAGTAGGTGCTTGCTAAACAGCAAGTAAATTAATTGTTTGTAGGATTGCAGTCTGTGTAAAAAAGAAAGGGGGGGGGATTGCAGTCTGATCCTACACCCTGATTTTTGTGGAAATAAGCTCAGTGGGAAGCAGACTCCTAACCATGTCTGCTCGGAAGTAGTCCTATAGAATTCAACGAGGCTTACTTCCAGGTAAGGGGGGGTTGGATTGCAAGCAGAATAAGTGGGCACAGGCTGTAACCTTCCCAGTGCAATCCTATTTTATGCTCCAGAAGCTAGTCCTACTGGGTTTAATGGGTGTACAGTTGTAGCCTGGGTTTCCAGAGTAAAAGTGTGGTATTTGCAAAACAATTCTTCCTTGTTTTGTTTTCGCGACCCTAAAAATGCACTTAAGATGTAATGTGTCCTTCCCATGTGCAAGGTTGAAAGAGGATAGCTGTTTTCATACAACAAAGCTTGAGTCCATTTTGCTTGAGCTAGTTCTATAAGGTAAGCGAATAATATGACTAACCAAAACATTTTGAATTCTAAAATGCAACTATTCTGTGTTCTAGTCTGTACTGAGCACTTCCTATGATCTGAATGAAATAAGAATTGTAACGTGATAGCATGGCCACAGGAGATTTAAAAGGAAACTTGCGTAAAATAGAGCAAGGACTTCGACTTTTAAATTATCCCAGAGATGTTGATTATGCTGGGTAAGTGCAAGTATATCTTTATTTTTTATAATATTCATTGGTTCTATCAAACATGATTTGCTGGGAAAGGGATCTACAGTTCTCATATCAGAATCATGTTATTTTAATGTTGCTTCTGCTTGGACTGTGGACCAGTTTTAAAAAAAATACAGTATAATAAACTGACTTGTTAAAGAATAGGCAAGAATTTTGCTTGTATTCCTGTTTGGATAATAGAAGAACACTGGTAGGCAGCTAAAACCAACTATCTGCAACATATTAATCCATATAGTCTGATGTTGGATGGGGAAAGGGTCATTCCAGACATTCTTTTAATTGTGCATTCATGATGCTTTGGGTTCATAATTGTATCATGGTATTGTATCATCAATGCAGAAAATCTTATAAAGCTGAATGATGTGTGGATGCTGCAGTTTAAATTCACCACAAATGCAGAATAGACATGCAGAAAACAGTGGTCTGAAGGGACCCTTTTTTACCCTGCCTCCCCTTCCTGTGTCTTTAAATGGAAAGCAAAGATGCTTATAAAGTAGAAACTTTCTTACAAAATGTTGGTTGCAGTTAACAAGAAAAAGGACTTGAGATATGCTTGGAAATTTGAAAGCACCCAAAATGTGAGTACACTGTAAAATAGTTACAACTCTGATTTTAATATAGTGTTTCTAGAGGAACAGAAATAGAACAGCTGCAGTTCCACTGGTGCAGTAGAATACAATATTCTCTTACTGTCTAGCTTTTCTCTCTATTACAGGTTGGCAAAGGGAGATCCATCTGCATTTTTGCCCATCATCAGCTATTGCTTCACATCCTTCTCAACGTATATTGCAGAACTTCTAGTGGAATCGGATGTGAAACTCATGGCAAAGAATGACTTGCGTTTTATTGATGCCGTTTATAAGGTATTTATATAGTTCAAGAGTCCTTTGTGACACTACCACTTGTTGAGAATAATGGAAAAGTAAGAGTTTGTTTTAAACTTTACTTTCACCACATCTCTCAAAGCACCTTACAAAAATAAAAAAGGAAAATCTACTTTAAAACATAAGTTAAAACGTCCAAGAGTAGAACATTAAATCAACATTCATGGTGTAAAGGTCTTCTGAAAAAGTTGTGTGGCATTATAGAGGCTACAAA